CAACCCATTTTAACAATAACACCACCTCTTTCAAAATATATAAAACACCAAACAACACCACATCTCTAATTGATATTCAAATTCATATAAAACACCAAACAACACCACATCCCTAATTGATATTCAAATTCATATAAAACACCAACTAACACCTCAACCCATATTCAAATTGATATAAAACACCAAACATCACCTTAGCCCTAATTCATATTCAAATTGATAAAACACACCCACTCAAATCCAGAAATTGATGTAGATACCCAAACAAATGAAATACATAATGAAATACCATCCTTGATCTTCTGGAGAAGCTCAAATCCAGTCATGCCAGGCATAGAATTTACTTCCAGATCCAAAACCATCACAAAAACCAAATGATTTCTAAACTGATGTTACAATTTACAAGGGGAAAAATAGAAAAGGGATAATCATCAGTTGGCTAAACACAAGTTACCACACTAAAATCAACCACTAAAAATAAAAGATTGTTTCTTTTATTACATCAAATCCAGAAGAGTTCTTCTCCTCGTCCAAGCCCAAATTCAGAGCCCTCGTCCCACTTTATACGACAATCGTTGCAATAAATTCCATTTGTAATTGGTGAAATAAAACTCAATTTCAAAGTGCATTATCATCAACCAAATACCAAATTTGAAAAATCTCGAATTCAATAAAAAAATTCAAAATTTTGGAGAAAACCCCCAAATTTCGAATTGAAGAAAAAAAATCAAAATTGTTGCAAAAAATCCCCAAAATCTTACTTTACTTACTGTGGAGGACGGTTTTTCAGATGTGGAACGGCGAGGAAGACCATGGAATTTTTGCACGAAATTGGCCGGCAATTTTTAGAGAGAGAGACGATTGGTGATGAAATTTTTAGAGAGAGAGACGATTGGTGATGAAATTTTTAGAGAGAGAGAGAGAGACGAACGGAGAGAGGTGGAATTTTTAGAGAGAGACAGATGATTGACGATGAAATTTTGAGAGAGAGAGCGTCGGTCGACGATGAAATTTTGAGAGAGAGAGAGAGAGAGACGAGTTGAACGGGGAGAGAGACGAGCTTCTGCTTTCAATTTTTTTATGAAAATAAGGTAAAATAAATGAATAATAATAAGAGTAGTATATATATGGGGAGTCATTTGGAAAGAGAAATTAGATCTAGGGAGTGTAGAGGAAATAAAAAAAGGGTGGGGACTGACAAGGAAACTCAATTAGGGGTTGGGGATTTTAGAAGAATTTCCGTTAATATATTTGTGGAAACTTGAGACAATCAAAATTTCAATAAAGTGTACTTAAAAAAAGTAAATTAAATAAAATTATGTTATTTTCTAACTTGATTACTATTTATTTTTTAATAAAAGTTACTCCCTCCTATTTGTTTTCAATGTTATTCTAATTTTATTAACTATTAACAAAATAAATGTCGTTTTGGATATTTTGTACATATTTTTCCATTATTACCCTCATTTAGCTAATAAATATATTACGTCTTTTAATATTTACTCTTCATTTTTTTCTCAAAACATTCATCTCTATCTTCATTAAATAAGTTTATTATTGACAAAAAAACTATTCTTAATTAATGTGCAACTTCTCAAAACGACATATATTAAAAATAGGAGATAGTATAATGTTTTGACATGTAAAGTTAAAGTCATTATTCAAATCAAGCAGCGCGAACACATTTAAGTTCGAGCCATTTTCAACCTTTTTGTCTACTCGAATCGAGTTCAAATAGCTAAATCTCATTTATTAAACGAGCTGGGTGAGCTTGTTTGTGAACAACTAATTGTTTAATTTATTACGAGTTCGAAATTAAATAGTTGATCCTAACTTGTTCACGAGCAAACATTTAATGTTAGCATCTACTTGCTTAATTTTTTTTTTTTTTTTTTCGATAGTCAGCCATGTTATCTGGATCATTGCCCACGATTAATCCGTTGGTGATGCCGACGAGATTGCATTAGCATATCTCGACAAATATGATCGACTTATGCCTTTAGTATGATTGTTATTATATTTATTATCATTATTTATGTTTGTGTCTATTTATGTTGTGTGTTGGACTTCTTTTATTTGGGCTTTTTATTAGTCTAGTTGGTTAGGACTCGGTGATATTATTAAATGTACGTGTAATATCAGTAAAGGGACGGTTTTTATCAGATACTGAATGAAAGTTATCGTGTTCTTCGTGAAACTTCTCTGTATACAATCAGTATACAATCATCCATCACAGGTTCTGCTGCATCAGTTGGTCAACCTGGACCGTACACCTGACAATGGTGGGTGAATGTGCAAATAAAAATTTTCTGCATTTACAAAGACTCAAAACTCGAGACCTTACTTAAACGATATCAAACTATTTACCACTTGAGTCAACTCCTATTGATTAAAAATTTAAATTTCATAAACAAACATGCTCTAAACTTCACGAGGAGAAAACGAACATGGACTCAAACATAAGCTAACCAACTCTGATCATTTTGGAAAATTCACAATATTTAGAATCAAAATGACAGGTGGACAAATTTAACTGGCTCTTTACTCCACTTGGCGATGATTAGAAATAATAATGGTAAAAAAGAGGGGCAATAATTGTATAAAGAACAAACCCTAAAACACATCAACCCCAGTCATCGAATTTCAGAATTTAATATTTACTTATTTTTTGATCTATTTACCACTTGGAAACAACATTTTCAGTCATCATCGTCTTCTTCGTTTTCATCCCCATTACCATTGTCCCCCCTTTTCACAAGAGAAAACCCACTGTGAAAGTTTCTTCATTTTTTAAACAAACCATGTGTATCGAGCATTCTCTTGACCAGGCACAGCTAGGTAATATCACGTCGTGCCTCTTAAATTTGTGGGTTTTCTTGATTTTTTATGGATGATTGAATGTATGTGTTTTTGTTTTTGTATATTGAATTGAACACTGCCCACGTCGTTGTTTGGCCACTCGATCTGATTTTTCGTTTTGTTGGTTGGTGTTACATATTCGGGAAATTGTTGGATTTAGCGGAAATTTCATAGTTTTGTTTTGGTTCCTAGGTTTGTTTGGGTGTTTTTTTTTGTAATCACATGTAGCTTGCCTTCCTCCTTTTGGTATCCTTGCAGTGAATCGAAGTATGTATCCCCTCTTTTTGGACCGTTCCTAGGTTTATTAAATGTGTATTGCTACCTAGTCTTTGTTTTCAAACAATGTATTAATGTGTTGATTTTTTAATTTTTTTTTTTCCCATTCGCAGGGGTATACTATATTTCACTCATCATACGTATTTCGAGAAACGCTGAGAGGTTCTTCATCTGACTTTAGGTTACTCTTAGTGCTTAGAAAGTATTTGGGTTTAGGAATTTGTTAGTTATAAATGAGCTCTTATCCCCAGCCTGGGGCTCTTACCGAGCAGCAGCCGCAGCCGGTTTTTAATTTTTCCAGTGCTGTTCCTTTTAAGAAGAGAAGATTTCCTATAATCCGGCCGACATCTCCTCCTCCTCCGGAAGAAACTATTTCTAGCCCTGTGAAGAATGAATCGAAGAACGAGCAAGAGTCCAAGATTTCTGTGAATAATGAATTAAAGAGCCAGCAAGAATTGAAAATTCAAGATGGAGAAAGCCCATCTTCGATTGATGCAAGAAATGCATCTTCTCCTGGGAATGCTGACGTGAGCAAGGCCTCTGTATCAGCAGTTGAAAAAGACGGGAGCAATACCGATTTGGGAACACCTAACGTGGACAATGTTCAATCCAAGTTGCATGACGAGAAGAAGCCCACTGTTAATTTAAAATCTGCTGCTGATTTGGGGAATAAATTTGATATATTATCTAATGAAAATTCTTCAGAATCCGATGTTCTGAAAAGTTGTGCGCGTTCTCAAATTGCGAACATGAAGCAGGAAACTTTTAGCGAGCAAAAAACTGAAGGCACCTGTGTACTCGAACCCTCAATGGGCCCGATGAGCGTTGAGCTGTCGTTGGTGCGGAAAGAACTTGCTGTTCCGTTTCCGGAACATGAAAAAGATGAAGATATCTGCAATACACCCGACAAATCTGATCCTTCTTTGTTGTGTATGGCCTTGAGCGACAAAGAACTTGCTCGAATTGGGAAAATCGATTCTACTCTAAACAAAGTGGCCAGTCAAGTCTTCACCAATCGGTCAAACTGGGATTTGAACACAACCATGGATGTCTGGGAAGGTTCCTCGGGTAGTGATGCATTAACAGACACGCCAGCTGGCATCGGTGGATCTCGAAAGAATGATGACTTCCAAGATGAGAAATTGTCTTTGACTACAGCTGGAGAAATTGGCTTTAGTTTGGATAAAGGAAAACATATTCTGAATGTTAGTGATTCCAATTCTTCTATTGCAGCTATATTACACTCTAGCCAGCTATGCAAAACTGATGATTCACTCGGTCTTAGACTTGCCACGCCACATAGGGAGCCGGAAGTTAGAAAAGAGCATTTTTCATTATCAGATAGCTCGCTCGCCACCAGTTCTACTAGTTGTTTAGGTTTGCAATCAGTACAAACATCGGCCTCGCCCGTGAAATCAGAACCGGTTGATGAGAATACCAAACGTGACTGTAAGATAGGTAATGGTAGCAATAGCAATGTGGTGGGGTTACTGAAGTTGAGTTCCGCGAAAACAGAGCTTGTCAATAATCACAAAGTGGAAACTGTACTGCAACATTCTGTTAGCCCGGATAAATTAATTTGTTCTGGCAAATCACTGAAATCCGAAGCTATTCATCAGCATAATCAGAAAGCGTGCAAATCTGAAGATGTTACACTTCCTCAATCTTTTTCAAGAACTATGCAGAATCAGGATATCTGTTCATCTTCTTCTTTTCCGGATGAGAAGCACAAATTGCCTCAAGTGGATGAGGGTACTTTTGAATTAGATGATGATGAAAAGTTAAACGGCCCAGCTGAAGCAACTGAAGTGGGTATCTTGATTGATAAAGGAGAAAACAAACGAAATAAGGAAGATGAAGAGTACGAGGATGGCGAGGTTCGAGAGCCAAGTGCAGAAAAACAAGTTGGGTTTGGAAAGGAAATGGAGAATTCTGAGTATTTCGGGCATGCTTCTCGAAATTCGCAGCCGACGGATGATCAAGACATCATCAGCCCATCCACTTTTGACCCACCTAAAGATTCTGCAAAGAAAATTCTCGAGGAAACTCGTAACGACTCGAATGGTGATAGAGTCCGTCCCTACAGTGAAGATAACTATTTGCAGAAAGCTTTGGAAGAAGTGTTGGAAGTAGGGGTTGACGAGAAGAGTGCAATAAGTGTAAAACCAGACGAGCTGCTTCAAAATTGTCGTCCTGCAAAAGAAATTTCGGTATATGAACTAGCTGATGTTGACTGTGTGGCAGATATTGAGCTTGAAGATGCAGATAACAATAACTCAACCTTGTCTAAAGCGGAAACATCTTTAGACGGCCATGATGGTGTAAAAAATTCCAGCAATTTAGGCGACAAAAGCCGCATTATAAATTTATCTCGTGCTTCAGCCGCAACAAGTCCTTGTGAAACGGAATCTTTTACAAAAACGTTGATAACAACACAGCGTGTAAAAGAAAGGTACTCTGATCTTGATGGACATGCACAACAATGGGGAAATAGGTGATACATATTGTTGTGTTGTATTAGTTGTCTATTTCTGTTGCTTTCTGCTCTCAGGTTCCAATAAATGTCCTTATATATCTTTTCCTTTACAATACTTTATAGGGATGAATTCTACACTGGCGGCCGTACAAACAGATTTGTAAATGATCGAGCCCAGGATCAGGATCGGCCACATGGCCCACACAGGAATCATCGATCGAGTTTCTCGAACAGAAGGAGGAGAATATCCGGCCGCTTTGACTGGGACTCGTCTTATCATGACTTTTCCTCCGAGATCCCTTACAGCCCGTCTGATTACCGGCCCGCCAGGCGCCAGCTCACCTCTGATCTTGACATTGAATGCAATGGCTACGAAATCCAACAAGACGGTGCTTCTGATAGACGAAAATCCAAGAACGATGAATTCCCTTCACTTCGCCGGGACAGAGAGAACCAAAACTTCTCCAGATTTCGAAATTCGAGCCCAAATCGACCGCGCGACAAATTCATACGGCATTTATCTGATGAAAATATCAACAGTCCTTCATACAATAATCCGCAAGCGATTTACGATGAGCTTGACGACGGGCAGCAGCAGCAGCTTGTACGGGGAAACAGGAATTTCTCCAACAACATGCAGAGAAAGGAGTATTCTCGGAACAACCGCTCGAAATCTCCTGCCTGGGACTCCCCGCGTTTTTACAGGCCCGACCGTACGTGTTTTCGTGACGAGATGGTTCCTAGGAGGCGTGGTGGGTCCCCTTCGTATGGTGGCCCCAGACATCATCCTAGTAACGATCCTAGGTCGGGGAACTCGAATAATAGGAGAGGCTCGCCTGAACGGGACTTCTTGAGAAGCGGCCGTAGTAGAACTGAAGGGTTCGATAATTCTAGAGAGATGATGGGGGATTGCGAAGAGTACATGAACGGGCCCGGTAATAATAAATTCAACGAGAGGCGAGGGCCCGTTCGTTCATTTCGGCCCGGTTATAATGGCGAAAGTGAGAATTTCCGGTTTCATTTGAACGAGGGCCATAGGCCTTACAGATTCTGTTCGGATTCGGACGGTGAGTTTGGAGAGAGAGGAGGTGGACGAATGAGAGAGAGGGAGTTTGACAGGCGAGCGAAGCACCATCATCATCAGTCTTTGGGTGTGTCGAGGAGGATTAGGAATGTCGTGGATCATGAGGATGGGAATTACAGGACGGTCGAGCGGGCCTGGCATGATAATGATGGGTTTTCTGATGGTAGAGAGAAAAGAGGGAGATTTTGAGGTGTTACATTGGATTGTCAGCATCTCGACTCATCAAAACTTGAGAAAAAATGATTTTTTTTAGCAGAACCCTATCCTTATGTGTAGTGTGTGCTAAAGCTAAAGCCATATGAAGAATTTGGTTCAGTCATCCCGAGGCTTTGAAGCAACATTAGCTCATGAGTTGTGAACACTCGAAAACGGGTTGTTTCTCAATCGTCTGTCTTGTTTTTCTTTTGTTGTTGTCATAAAAACCTTATCGACAGTGTGTATGATGAGGAGGCAGGTGCAAGTTGTTGGCACGTTGTCTTGTATATACTCGGTTCATAGGACCTCCAATAATTAGGATGCATAAAGTGGCAGGGAGCCCCCCCAGTGGGATGAAATTTTTAATTTTCTCTGCATGATATTCCAAAAAAACCGCACTTCTCTCGACTAGAAAGAATGCTTCGGGCTAGTTGCCTGTACTCTTTTAACCGGCGAATGTAGAAGACGATGGTGGTTATGAATGATATTTGGCTATTTAGTTTCGTACTCGGTTATGTTCGTTCGGGTGCAGCAAACATATGGTGAACGTTGCTTTTTGTGGAGTAAATGCATCTCTAATGAGCAGACTCTCAGTTTTGTGGCATCATGAAATTAACATTTTTCTTGACAAGATTATGAGAGTGAACAGGGGTGTGAGTCTACTACATTTTGCCACAAATGAATGGAGGGGCATATCTGGAAATCATGTCATCAAACTGGAAAAACTGGAAATTCTGAAATTAAGAGATCAAATCTCTAAAGGTTAATAATATTATACCTGTTATGGTGATGACTTATATGATTAACAACATTATACTCTTATAACAGCCGATGACATAAACTTCTATATTTAGAAAACTTCTATATTTAGAAATTGATGATACATACAAAAATATACTGATGTGGTTCATTTCTTTTTTCAGTTTTTTAATTTTAAGATGTTTCTATTTATTATTTTATTTTTCACCAGAGTGATTGAATTAGTGCTGTTAAATTAAACGAGCTTGACTCGGCTCGGCTTGAGCTCGGCTCGTTAAGGCTCGGTTCGGCTCGAGTTCGAAGCCTTTAACGAGCTGAGCTCGAGCTCATTTAAAGCTTGTTTGGTTAACGAGTCGAGCTCGGCTCGGCTCGACTCGACTCGATAAGACTCATTAAGGCTTGAAAAGTGAAATTTATGTAATTTTTTATAGTTCGTCTCGTTGAAGCTCGAGATCGGCTCGTTAAGGCTCGAGCTCGAGGCCTTAACGAGCCGAGCTCGAGTTCGATTTTTGGCTCGTTTACTTGACAGCTCGGCTCGGCTCGATAAGACTCGTTAAGGCTCGAAAAGTGAAATTTATGTAATTTTTTATAGTTCGTCTCGTTGAAGCTCGAGATCAGCTCGTTATCGAGGCCTTAACGAGCCGAGCTCGAGTTTATTTTTGGCTCGTTTACTTGACGAGCCGAGCTCGACTCAGCTCGTTTACAGCCCTAGATTGAATATAATGTAATGATAAAAATAGATGCCATATAAAAAGTAATAAAATAATACATAATTGATAGTAAAAAATATGTGAGTAAGTGAATAGTGAATTTTGTTGCAAATTTATAGTAATGATTAATTTTTCTTACTTAATTATTTTGATCAAATTGATAACCAAATGTAAAATAAATGGATTCACTTTTTTTTTTTTAAATTGTATTTAATCATAGGTCTAGTAATAAAAAATATCAAGCAAAACAATCGTGAAAAAAAACTTAAATCCAATCCACTCCACCTCTAAACATGTAAAAATCCTAAAAAAAAAAAAAAACTTCCCAGAGATGTTACGGTCTCGTTACATAATCATTCCGTCGAAATCCGTAATTGTTAGATTAACTATCCTCGACGATTATATAATAATTTAATTGTTAGAAATGCTGACGAAATTATTCCATAACGGTCCGTAGTATTTCTAAAGTGGATTTCTTACTCTAAAAGTTATCCTTCAACATGCACCACATTTGCTCTAGAATAATTCTATTTTATAGTGACAAAGTCGATTGTAATCCACTATACTTATTACTTTTTCCAACGACAATTTCAAAACATTGCCTTTTCACCTCACATGCCGCAGACCAGTGGTTATGATATGATTGCACTACACTGTAGAACATAGCCTTTGAATAAAATGTGTGTGAAAAATATATAGAATATCTCTAATCTCTGTTACTATTTTTCACTTTCTTTTACCCCTTTGCTTGCATACCTTTGCAACACAACAACGTTAAAACAAACGACCCAACCTTAGAATCCCCTTATTTCTAGCTAATTAATTTTGCTCTTTTTCATTTTTTCCCCCTCTTCCTTTTCACGATCCAATCCACAGCATTCTTCATCTCCATCATCAATTTTATTATTATGATTTTATCTCGTTAATTCAATCCTCTTTCCCAATTTATTGACAATGATCCATTATTTTATGACAAAGATCAATCCTGCATAAATGCAAATGCAATAGAGCTGTAGAGAGAAAAAAAAAGATAAAATAAAAAAGATGGGGAGCTACAATTATTACAAGATGTTCGGTTGTTTCAATCGGAAGTTCAAGATCAGCGAATCGGAGCCGCCGCCGGACGTGAGGGAGGCGTTCTGGCGGTATGCGGAGGGCTCCGATCACATGACGGCCGATCAGCTCCACCGGTTCATGGTGGACCACCAGCATGACGTCGCGTGCACCACCAGCCACGTGGAGGCCGTGATGCAGGCGGTTTTCAGCCACCGCCACCACTCGGACTCGAGGCGCCACCACCACCACTTCACCCTCGAGGACTTCTTCTATTTCCTCTTTCAGGACGACCTTAACGGCCCCATTAGTCCCACGGTCCGTGTCCACGTCACTTTTTTTTTTCTCCTTACAATCATGGTTGTATTGCGACGATTTTGTTTTGGGGTGATTTGGTTCATTAGTTCATGACTCGGCAGGTCGGCTCGTCACGATTTTGCCGCGCGGACTCAGATTCCAATTTTATGACTATATTATGCCTTTTTTTTTTTGGCTCTAATTAGGAATGAAATTAGATTGATGATTTTGTTTAAATCAATATGATGATCAGGTGCACCATGACATGACTGCTCCATTGCAACATTACTTCATATACACAGGTCACAATTCATATTTGACTGGAAACCAGCTCAGTAGTGACTGCAGCGAAATCCCGATCGTTAAAGCGCTCGAAAATGGCGTGAGGGGCATAGAGCTCGATTTGTGGCCTAATTCCGCAAAAGACAACGTGCATGTACTTCATGGAAGGTACGGTAAGCCTCTCATTTTCAACGTTTTCATAGGTGAGAAATATTACTCAGTTCAATCCAATTCATGTATGTGAAAAATCGAGTCTACGGGTTAAGAACAAGTTTTGCAGGACTCTAACAACTCCAGTGCCACTCATGAAATGCTTGAAGTCCATTAAAGAGCACGCGTTCGTCAAATCTCCGTACCCTGTTATTATTACATTAGAGGATCATCTTACACCAGAACTCCAGGCTAAAGTGGCAGAGGTGAAATATAATTTTGTTTCATTAGTTCAAATGATAATATTTGTAGAGTACTATTTAAGTTCTCTTTGAAATGATAATAGATGGTGTCTCAAATTTTCGGAGACATGCTATACTGCCCTGAATCGGGTTGCTTGGAGGAATTTCCTTCGCCGGAGGCCTTAAAACACAAAATCGTACTCTCAACAAAGCCACCAAAAGAATACCTCGGCACGAATATTGTTAACAATAAGGATGGAGAATCTTCGTCGCCAAAGGAAAAATATTCTTCTGACGACGAGCCTGAACCACCCGAAGGTGATGACAAGGTATTATTATTATTTCGCGATTTTTTCCCTTTTTTTTTTACTACCGATGAATGATCAATTAGCTAATTTTGTTACTGTTATTTTTTCGATGTTTTCGAATGTGGGGAAACACTACTCAAAGAGTGATAGTGATGATGAAGATTGCGAAAGCTTTAATCAGAAATCGGGGGCTGCTGCTCCAGAGTACAAGCGCCTCATAGCCATCCATGCAGGGAATGCGAAAAACAAGAGCTTGAGGCAAGTACTCAAAATCCGAGGTAATAAAGCCGTTAGACTTAGTTTGAGCGAACAAGAACTCGAAAAGGCTGCCGCTTTGTACGCTACCGATGTAGTAAGGTAATGTATGTAACATAATCGTACCCTTAGATACTTTTACAATTTTTTTTTTTTTCATTCATTCGTCAATATTTTGAGTTTATGTATTTCGACTTATTGTATAGGTTTACACAAAAGAACATATTGAGGGTATATCCTAAGGGAACGCGCGTGACCTCGTCGAACTTTAGGCCGATTAACGGGTGGATTCATGGTGCACAGATGGTCGCGTTTAACATGCAGGTCTATCACCATTTTTTTTTCGTTTAGTCGTAAACGAACGAAAAAAAAAAAAAAAAAAATTGATGTAAAATGAGAATTTTAATTAATTAACTCCATGGATATTGATAAATAATAACAGGGGTATGGAAAATCTTTATGGATGATGCACGGTTTGTTTAGATCCAACGGTGAGTGTGGTTACATTAAAAAACCGGACGTTCTTATGGAGAAAAACCGAAGCAACGAGCCCTTTGATCCCAGTTTACCGTGGCCCGTCAGGAAAACACTGAAGGTGACTGCAAAAACAAAAGAATAATTAAGGTTATGTTTGAAAACCTAGTCGATAAGTTAGCTTATAACTTTTAAGTGAAGTTTGAACTTATAACTGATAACTATGACTGAAAAACTAGTTTATATGATAACTAGCTTATATGATACAAGTGTTTTGGTAAAAATAGTTGATAAGTTATAGTTGAAATAAATATTTCAACGATCTTATTTGAAAAACTACCCAAAGAAGCTTATGAAATAAGCTCGAGATATTTTTAAAAAGTTTGTCGTACCAAACGAAACTTATTTGAATACAGAAAGCTTATAAACTAACTAAATAAGCTAATAAAAACGCTTATTTGGTTAGCAAACATAGCTTAAATATGATTGCAAAGGAACATCATTAAAAAAAAAAAAATGTATTAAGCCTTTTTGCCTTGTTTTCCTTTTTCTCTTTCGGAACAGGTAATCGTGTACATGGGAGACGGGTGGCGTATGGATTTCAGCCATACGCATTTCGACACATTTTCGCCACCAGATTTCTATACAAAGGTCTTTAACTTATATTTCTAAAGATATGCAGGGCAATTTGCAGTTAACCCAAAGATTTATGTGGTCCTCTCTTTTAAATTCTAACAACTATGATTATGTGTTTTGCAGATATACATACTCGGTGTGCCAGCCGATGATGCTAAGAGGAAAACACGGGTAATAGAAGACGATTGGACTCCATATTGGGACCAAGAGTTCAAATTCCCTTTAAGAATACCCGAATTAGCTTTATTGAGGATAGAAGTTCGAGAGTATGATAGATCGGATAAAGATGATTTTGGTGGGCAAACGTGCTTGCCCGTGTCTGAGTTGAGACCCGGAATTCGAGCTGTCCCATTGTACGACAAGAAAGGAAAGAAGTTTAAGTCAGTGAGGCTTCTCATGCGGTTTCAGTTCGAATGACTAATTGCGCGTTTTTCTCTTATGTTTTGTGCTTGGAAAAAAAAAAAGAAAGAGAAAAAAGAAAATGTGGTTCTTCTCTTGGACAATGATGGTTTTTTGCTTGATTTTTTTCTGAGGTCCATTAGTGAGTAATATTTCTGTACATTATTAGTTTGCTTTGCTGCATTTGTTGTAAACAAGAGAGATCATATGTATATGGAATGTGGTGATTTGTTTTCTTGTGTCTTTTTTTTTTTGAACTGTTGATGATCTTTGGAAGAAAATACTTTTTCCAATATATATGAAATTGAAGTTTACAAGTTATATAGGCAACATATGAAATCATGATGAGTAACCACACATACATTTCAACATGTAATTGATAATAATGCTTTCAAATTTTGAAATATTAACCGATGCGTTGACATTTCATAACATAAATATACATTTTCTTAAAAATGTATAACAAATTGACATGCGTAACAGATAAAACACCTCATGCAAGAATTTGTGTTGTGTGTAATTAAACAACAATAATAAGGCACCCAAATCAATTAAAATCACACTATATAAAAACATAAGCTACATGAATATGATATAGAAAATTACTGATAGTTTCATGAACATTAAAATG